TTATTACTGTGACACATGATTGAGGTGAGGATGGATAAGAAACAGAGACAAGTTAGCTACTTATAATGAAGGGCGCACAGGCATTTGCTCAGCCAGAGTTGGCTCTGGTGTCCCATGCTTGAGTCAATTCACAGCTCTACTACTGTCCGGCTTTGTGGCAAGAGAAAAGTTACATAAACTTTTGGGACCTTAGTAATCCCTAAAGTAACTACAGTAATTGTACATATCTCACAGATTGCAGTGGGGATTAAATGAGACAAAATATGTGTCTTTTTCAGAACTTATGATGTCAATAGAAGCTTTACTGTAGTGCGTAAGCATGAATTACTTTTCAAAGAATCTAGTTTGTAAAAGGCTTTACAATAGAATTAGGAAGATGCAAAAAAGAAAATCTTTTAAATGGGAGGAATGTGAACATATGCAGTTAAGAATAAGAAGTGACAGGAAAAAACTTTAAATAATACCAGGGATAGCAAGGTTAACTTCAGGAAAAAGTTTCCACAAGACTAGAGAATGGAAATAAGGACAGCTTAAATCACAGACTCTTTAAGAGGAAAGAAACTTCTTTCTCTAAAACCAAGAGGAAGATACAGAAAATTTAACAGGTGGTAGGAGGAATATGAAGTACAATGGTCTTAATCTAATCTATAAAACACAAGTAAAGGGGTATGAGTTGGGGTAGAAGACTTGAAGAGACAAATGAAAGAAAATTTACTGGTAAGAAGATAAATATTTGAAATACGATAACTTAAATAGAGAAGGAAATGAAGTTGTTTTTTTTTTCGGTACTGAGGATCGAACTTGGATCCTTGTGCTTGGAAATGAAGTTTTGAAAGAGCAAATAGCATGAAAAATATCTTAAGAACCCAGGAAATGGAAATATTAGAACAAGTATCTAAGAGCAAGAGTAACAATTAAGACTCTATCACTTACTATATAGCCATTATGTACGAGTTATTAGGGGAACAAGACGTTTGATGGAGAAAGGTTGGTATACAGAACTTAAGATTTAAAAACAGAAAAACCAATGTTTTTTTTGAGACATGGTCTCACTATGTAGCCCACGGTGGCTTTGAACTCCCACCTCCTGCCTCAGCCTTCCGAGTGCTGGTATTGTAGTTGTGGGCCACCACACCCGGCTTCAACAATTTACTATATATTTTATAAAGAACCACAAGAGAGGAGCTTGAAGCTTTTCAACATGAAATGACAACTCTTTAAGGGAAATGCTAATCACTCTGATTTGATCATTACATTCTGAATACATATGGTGAATTATTACACTTATCCCATAAATACATACAATTACAAATAAACTTGGGGTTAAAAAAAAAGATTTAAGAGATGTAGCGAAACTCAATGCAAAAATGACATAGGAAGAAAAAATGTAACAGTTGAGTTCAAAGAAGTTTGAAATAATGGTACATTTGGGGCTGGGGATTTAGCTCAGTGGTTCCAGCGCCTGCCTTGCAAGCACAATGCCCTGAGTTCGATCCCCGGTACCAAAAAAAAAAAAAGAAAGAAATAATGGTACATTAAATGGGTTTTATATGTTTTAAATATCTTACAATGACAGCAAATGTTAGTGTGAACAACCAAAGTCATCCTTAATGAATACTGGAGAGGATCTAATGGTAAAGAATGAAAGAGACTGATTATATATACATAGTCTCAGAGGGCTCATATTGCTTCAGCGGAAGATGTGATCTGCAATTTAATAGGAGTACAATTTGGAAGCAGCAAAGGAAAGAAAAAAGGTTAAGTACCACGGTTTCATTACAAGTTAAAAAAACCAGCATCTCAGATTATTTCAGTCTCTCATGGGATCTTGATTAAGCTTTTTATAACAAGAAGGCTGAGAGAATTCAGAGAAACTGAGAAATTGTACAGCTATTTTGTTTGTAATGCACATTAATAGAGCTGGGTATAGTGGTGCACACCTTGGGAGGCTGAGGCAGGAGGATTCCAAGTTTGAATCCATTGTGAGCAACTTGATGATTTAGTGAGACACTGTCTCAAAAAAAAAAAAAAAATTAAAAAGGGACTAGGAAATGTAGCTCAATGTGAAGCCACTGGGTTAAATCCCTAATTTTTTTTTTTAAATAAAAAGAACATACTAGATTGAATTAAAAAAAAAAGAGCAACTCAATAGACTAGAAAGTACACAATAGTAGGCAGTAGTCATTCAGACTCCTGTATTATGTCTTAGCTAGTTATTAAACCCCAGGCAATAATTTCCTTAATTTATACAATGAGAGGGCTGAATTACATTAACAATTTTCAATTTAAAAAAAAGTGGCAAAATTCAAATGACATTTTACATAGAATTTCAAAACAAAACAAAGGTTCCATGTTTCCTCCTGAGACAATTCTGCAGAACACCAAAGCTCCCTGTAATGCAATTTTTACTTTCCTAAAAGATTTCTAGATCATTTCTAGAATTATCTTACAATTCTAACAAGTTCCATGAATTCATTTATTTATTCATGTATTGCAGTGCTGGAGATCAAACCCAGCATTTCACATGTGCTAGGCAAATGCTCTATCACTGATGTGTAACCTCAGCCCTATTCCTTTAAAAAACAAAACAGGGCCGGGGATTTAGCTCAGTGGTTCTGCTACACGCCTTACAAGCCCAAGGTTCCAAGTTTGACCAAAATAAATAAATTAAAAAAAAAAAACAACAAAAAACCAAACCTGTTTACTATTTAATCTTCCTCTCTATAAGTACAGGGACTTGGACTATCTAGCATCTAGACTGATGCTTGACATAGAATATAAAGTCAGTGATTATTAAGCCTGGATGTTCCATTATAGCACAGTATATATTACTTCTGTAAACCTAAAACCTAGTAAACTGCATGGCATATACAGTGTAAGATGCTCAACAATACACAAAGAATGCCTGGATTAATCTCACAGACTTGGATGGTGTCCATCTATGACCTTCAATCAGAAGAACTCCAAATCTACTTATTCAGCCCTGACCTCCAGTTCCAGGCCTCAACTGCTAAAAAACTAGTTAAATTGAATCTATCCCCCTCCAATTTTTTCTAATTTCTGTGGCATTTCTTTGCCACTTATGTAAAAATTCCTTACTCTGGGCTCATATCCAACTAAGTTATTCTGATTTTTCTTTCATTTCCCACATATTTCTTGTTTTGTAATCCTAGTTTAAATTCTCTTCACTATACAGTTGTAGCACGGGAGTAGCTTCTTGCCAATTTACATGCCTTTAGTCTCTCCTCCCTCAAATTTATCCTTCACACAACTCTCGAAGTCAGTTTTTCTGCTATGTATCCATCTTGTAAACTGAAGTCCTCAAAATAAAGGCATGCCTGGAAAATGCAATAGACTCCTCTAGACAGTTGTGATGTAATGGTTAAAAAAAAAAAGCCTTCAACTAATCAAATATATACCGAAAAGCCAATAAAGTTTAAGTTCTCTGAAGGAATCTGAGAGACTTTGTTTATGTTGGTCAGTGCTAATCTACCACCTGGAAATAATTGGAATATAGCAGAAATCAATAAATATTTGTTGACTAAATAAATGGGTAGTTTAATGAATGATCCTAAACCCAAGAACAAACTCCAGGATGAAAGTAGTCTTCTTTAAAGATAAATCTGATAATCATGTGGAGGTCAGTAGATTACTTCAGCAAAAATAGCCAACATTAATTGAGTTCTTTCCACTACTGTAAGATTTTACATGAGTTTAACCATTACAAGTCTCATCAAGGTAGACAGTATTAAAGATAAGGCAAGCATTATGTTTAAGTACACACAGAATTTAAGTGGCAGATACAGTTTTACTAGGAAAAACAATAAAGGTCTGAACTTTCCCAAAATAGAAGTTTGCTTTGAAGTTAGAGAAAGATAAGTTGGAAAAGCATTTTAAAAGTAAAAGTTACAGCCATAATCTCCAACACATTTTCACAGCTTACATGATCATTAAGCATTGTAAACCTTCTTTCATTAATATATATAATTTTAAAAATGGTGTATGTACCATCTATCTGAATACTAAATAGTAAAAACCTTAATATATTCTTAATTTTTTGACAAAATTGTGATTGTTTTAATATTTTCTTCTCACATTTAACAGATAAATCTGAATCTAAAATAGTTATTGCTGGGCTTGGAGGAATGCGACTATAAATTTTAGCTACACAGGAAGTGAAGCAGGAGGATCAAAATTTGGAAGCCAGCCTTGGGCAATTTAGCAAGATCTCATCTCAAAATAAGAGCTGGGAACATGGCTCAGTGCTCTCTGGGTTTGATCCCCAGTACCAATCAATCTAGCAATCAATCAACATCACTGTGGATTTGAATGTACTGTGCACTTAGATAAATTTTAGGGGGTTCTACAGCCACAGATTAGATTCTAGGTATTTATATCATTCACTTAAAATTTTTTTTTACTAGTATATGTTCATAATACACAGTAACTACATTCATCTTGGGGAACTGGTACATATACATTGTGCATCTTGATCATTCATGAAAGACTAGGCTGAGTGACTAAGTGTAAGAATTTTCAAATACAGTTTTGATAAGATAATGTACAAACGACGGATGAGGAGAATCACTTTAGTGCTTAGGTTTCCTGTTATTGAAATAAGAAATAGGGCCAGGGATTTAGCTCAGTGGTTTTGCCGCCTGCTGCGCAAGCACAAGGACCCGAGTTCAATCCCCAGTACCAAAAAAAAAGGATTTCTACACATAAAATAACAATTTCATTATTGAATTTCATTTGGCTGCTGGATTTTCTCATTAAGATAAACTGTACATTTTCAAATTACTACAAATGGAAGTTACTGCACCTACCTGATATTCAGCTATATCTTAAGGTAGATTTGCCTATAACTCATCAGATGAAAAATGTTAAGAATTCCTAAGTTCTTTTATTTTTCTTAATAACTTAAAGTCTTCTAAAAAGTAATACATTCAAGATAAATTTTAAGTCTAATGAAAATTTAAGTAAAAAATTTTTCATCTTACCCTGTCTAGTTCCAGTGTAAACTTTTGGTCCCATGACTGATTGGAAATAGGTTTCCAGCTAGTTTGACCAACCACAGTATTATCTAGCTTCAAAACAGCACAGACATCATCTGTAATTAAAATTTATAAACTTGCTTAAAAATACAAAGAACGGTATTAGCAATTTAAAAATCTTAAGAGTCTTTGAAAATAAAGTTTTTCATAACAATATTGAAGCTCTTTAATCCCCATTGGATCCTCTCAAATAATCCTTTGATAAAAACACAGATAGTAACTGCAATCTCTTTCATATATAAAGTATGACTAGGAGTTAACAGTGACCAGTAGTTTGCCACACTGTATGTACGTTTTTGTGTATCAGTATCATTTATTTTCCTCTATCTATATTTGTTATTTTCTTCACATTTTCCCCAAAGCCTCTCTCTAAATACAAGAAGGTGCAAAAAAGTTTATTACTAGGTTGAAGTGTCACCTATCTTTCTCCTCTAGCCATACACTTAGGAATAGTTTGTAACTGTAATGCAGAATGTTACCAAATCCTTCTTAAACCATGTGCATTTTATTTTCTCTGGTTCCAATCAAAGTGGACTACTGGGCTGCTATCTCAGCATACATCTGGCCCAGGAGTTAATTACCAAAATTTCAATATTAGTTTGGAAGTGTCACTAAACCATTACAAGAACCAAAATGTGATTCTATAGGAATCAAGAATCTCACAGTCTCTGTATCTTCAGCCTGCATAAAGAATGATGCTTAGTATCTCTTTCTTTCAAAATAATTTGTCATTCATTCTTATATTATCAATAAAGTAAAATCTGTTCTCTTTTTGTTTTCTATCATTAAAAGGTTTAAACATTTTCAAATTAAATTACAGAAACTATAATTTAAAAGATTTTTGTCCCACGTGAACATTTTTCATTCTTCTTTGTCCCCAGTGATAATTCCCCATTAATTTGTTTCATGATTTTAGAAAGTGTGGTTACTGAACTGGACAAGTCATCGGTTTTTAGAAGATTTCGACTACTTCCACTTTTACTTTTACTTGTTCTGCTCATGAAAGATGATCTGGTTTCACTTGGACTCCAGCCAGGTAGTGCAACTGATGCTGCCTTTGACCGTCCAGGGACGTTCTCTAGGATATCTTGACAGCCCATGAGACGAACTTCTAAAGTACCTGTTAGCATAAATATATACCAAAGAAGAACAGCAAGTCTTAATAAACAGAACTGTGTCTATCTATTCAAAAATAGAAAAAAAACCAAACTTGCTAAAATAACAAAACCTTTTCTCCTAGAGGATCTGTGAGGTAACTATCAACTTTCCTGTTTTACTCCGAAAACCTTTGATTAAGACAACTATAAGAAATTTATAGAAAAGAATAGCATGTCCCAAAGCTGCCTGTAGGGCATAAAATAAATTACATAAACTTCTCGTGTGGCTAAATGCTCATTTCTATAACTAATGCAAGAATTGTAGAATTATATGGATAGAGTATGTAGGGGGAAACATAAAGCTAAATAATATACCTACACTACACTATAGATACACTACACTACACTACAATATACAACAGAAATTAGAAACAAGGAAATCTGAATAATAGCTGTGCTCAACAGTTATGTAGTTAACACAGAAAAGGACTTCATAGGGTTTTCTACATAAATAATACCTACTCTATTTGAGATGTAAAATTACCATATTATCTTTCCATTCTGACAGGTTAGTCAAATAATTATAGATTGTAATTAAGCATGAAATAACTGTACTTTTCTTAGGCAAATAAATACTAAAATTGTTCAAATTAAAAATCAGGAACTGTGACTTAGGCCATCTGGAGATATTTTTGCTATCATGCAGGCTAAACTTAGTATACTAAAATTAAAAATGTTTAGTATTAAAGTTTTAGATACTGCACATGGCATAACATTCTAGGAGTATTTCCTAGTAAAGTTGTCCTATTAAATATAAATAATTATTTTCCTTATAGCTTTTAATAATTGAAAAATAACTGAAGGACTTAAATATCCAAACAAGAAGTAGTAACAAAGCTTCTCAATTTAAAGAACTAAAAACTCCAGACAAAATGTATTTTTAAAAGTGCTGAAGACATTGAAAGACAAGCAATGCAGAACAGTGGTCTCTGAGAGACAGGAAACACGTGAGGAGCCTGAGACTGCTCTAGCTTACTGTCATAAGGAGTTTCCAAGATACAGTACAGGGAGGAAAGCTCAGGTAGAACCAAGATGCGGAAACACAAATAAGAGCAAAGGAGACTAAGACAGACAGAGTTCATAGAGTCAAGCAGAGTTGTCCAGAGACAGAACTTCTGGGATGTTCACATTTCTCCCATAACATCTTCATCAAACTATTAGTCCACACCTGCTTGTGAATAAAGTATCTGAGGCAAGAAAACTACCTGAAAAGATTAGAAAGAACAATACTCAATGTACACAGGTAGGAATGGTGTCTGTGCCCAGCAATCAGGACTGAAAATCTCAATTCATGAGGCACTAGAGGGAATGGTCTGAAGAGTCCTGCTCTAGCAGTAAAGTATAAACACCCTAATGATGCTATTGTTATATGTAACTAATCTTATAAGCAATATTCAAAAGATCAAGTTATACCTAAGTAGTTGTGTCCTAGAAAAAGCTTAAGAATATTTACACGAGTAAAAAAAAAAAATGAGGCCTATTTTTTCTACAATCATATTACAAACTAATACAAATTTAGGGGCCTGACATAGATGTTAGAATTTACAGAAAAGGATATTTACGGGCCAGGGATTTAGCCCAGTGGCATTGCACCTGCCTTGCAAGAACAAGGTCCTGAGTTCGATCCCTGGTACCAAAAAAACCCGAAACAAAGCAAAAAAGGATATTTAAACACCCCTTATAACAATATTCCATTTGTTCAAAAGTTGTACAGAGAAAAGGAAGAAAAAAAGGACTCAAACCAAATTTCCAGTGATACAAAAGACGTCTGAGATTTCTGTTTGTTTCTGTGGTATGGAGATTAAACCTAGGTCCTTCTCACTGAACTACGACCCCACCCTTTTAAATTTTGAGACAAGGTCTTGCTAAGTTGCTATGGTGCCCAGTCTAGCATAGAACCCGCATTCCTACTTCAGCCTCCCAGAGTGCTGGTATTACAGGTATATACCACCATGCTGGACTTGTCTGTGATTTCCTTAAAAATACAATGAATGGACTGGTGGCAGATTAAATGTTGCAAAAGAAAAAGTGAAGTAGAAAGGACAACAATAAGAATGATAAAAAACAGTTGAGATTAAAAAAATTTAGACTAATGCATTTGTGAATGTAACTTCAAGCAGCCTGTGTATTTGTAACTGAAGTTCCTGATGAAAAGCAGACAATAGGGGACAAATATATACGGCTAAGAATTCTCCAAATTTGGTGGAAACTATAGTTCAATGAATATCAAATCCAAGAAATAGAAGTAAACCACATTAAAGCCAATAATAATTCAATTTCTTAAAACCAGTGATAAACAGAAAACATTAAAAATACCATAAGAAAAAAGCATTTATTTACAGAGAAACAAAGATAAGGATGCAACAGATTTCCCACTGGAAACAATGTAAGCAAGACTACATACTTTAAATATATGTAATTTACTGTTTGTCAATTACATTTTAAGAAAATTGCTCTGAAAAGTGGATTATTTGTGGGGTCGGGGATTTAGCTCAGTGGCACTGTGCCTGCCTCGCAAGCTCAAGGTTCTGAGTCTGTTCCCTGGTACCAGAAAGAAAAAAAGTGGATATTTGTGACAATGGCACACTTCCTAATATACACTTCCCAAAATATAAAACTGTACACTTAAAATGGGTGATTTCTATGGAATGTAAATTATGCCTCAATAAAGCTGTTAAAAGTGGAGAAAACGGTTTCAACTCCAGTCTTTTCCATTTTTTTGTTAGGCCGTGGAAATCTTACTGTAAAGTGATAAGACAGATTAAATATAATGGTATCATTTTTACTTTAGTTCAAAAGAAATAACTTGTTATGTTTTTGTTTTATTTGCTTTCTTGCTGATGGTAAACTAGCAAACTTGCTTACTTCCACAGTAAATGCTCAGATGTGAAAGTCATCCTGGGGAAACTGAAAACATCTGGCTACTACTTCAAACCCTGGTAGCTTATTAAATATTTTAGCAATTTCAATATATCAGAACATGACAATGCTCACCACCTGTTTTCATTTAGGAAAGAAAAATCTGGAGGGAGTTAGAATCTTTATTAAACATCTAGAAGTTTCTTTCTTTTATGAGGTGACATAATTGCAATTGCATATAACCACATTAGAAACAGCTTAAAACTACATTCTTTACTTTCATAACCCACAATATGAAATTTTTAAAACAAGCAAATCTGAAAGTAAATGTTTATATTCATAAGCTGCAGCTATGAATTATATTAGAACAAATAAATGCTTTTTTATTTATTTCAACTGTCTGGAAAAACTATTTTAATAGCTATTGTATTAATTCAGTATTACATCTCAGTACAATTCAGGAACATTCATTCATTCATTCAATCATTCATTTATTTATTTTTGGTACCAGGGATCGAACTCGGGTCCTTGTGCTTGCGAGGCAGGAGGCGAAACCATTGAGCTAAATCCCCGGCCCCCCAGGAACATTTAATTCTAAAGAAATTGCATAAAAACTGGTAAATTTCTCACAATGTAGAGGAAAAATTCAATTATATTAAAGCAGCAACAAATTTACAAATTTCATTATAATCATATATCCACAAGAGAAACCAATTAAATGAAACAAATCACAAATTATACCATGCAGTGAAAAATTTGGAACAGAAAGTGCTCTATTTATCAATACTTATCTCTCATCTTCTCTGATCCTTTATTAGTATAAGTATTATATCTCTTAGTAGTTACTCCGTATTTTACTTATGATATAGTAGGAGCTTAAAGAAATTTAAAAAATATTTTTAAATGAAAATGTCTTAAGAATCCTAAATATTTTTTAGAATAGTGACTTCCATCACTTTGAATAGAGTTCAGTAAGGGAATTTAGAGTAGAAGAAAGAACTAAAGAGAAGTTAAAGTTCAAGAGTTGAGGGGAAGAGCAGACTGGAACAGAAAACGAAAAAAAAAAATCCAGCCATTATTAGTTGAGTTTCTAAAACCACTTTTCTAAAAATGTTAATTTCCAAAAATTTCAAATCATCTTTTAATCAGTCACTCAGAAGTTCTTGAGTACCAACAATGTGTTCAGCACTAAGCCAAAAGATGGTGAAACTTAGATATTAAGAGGGGATATAAACCAGTACAATTAGTATGGAAATCAATATGGAGATTTCTCAAAAGATTAAAACCAGAAATTCCATTTGACTCAGATATTCCCTTTCTAGGTATTTTCCTGAAAAGGTTAAAGACATCATAGTCCAGTGATACATGCGTACTCATGTTATAGTAGGATAATTCATAATAGTTAAATCTGGGAAGCAGCCTATATGTCCATCAATAGATGAATGGATAAAGAAAATGTGTTTACACATGATGGTAGTACTATTCTGCTATAAAGATGAGTAATTTGTAGAAAAATGAAAGTATCTTAAGGCCGTAATATTAAGTGAAATAAACAAGACACACAAGCTTAAATATTGCGTGGTTTCTCTTATATGAGGCACCCAAACTACAAAAAAAGAACAAAATAAAAGACAATAGGAATGTAGGGAGATAGATCTTTTTTGGGGTGTGTGTGGGGGTACCGGGGATCGAACTTGGGATCTTGAGGTTGTGAGGCAGGTGGCAGAACTACTGAGCTAAATCCCCAGCCAGAGATAGATCTTTCTTAAATGGGAAGGGGATCAAGAAATGGAGGGCGAGGAGATGAAAAAGAAATTAAGATGTATTACATACACGTGCCAATTCCATACAAGGAACGTAAACACTATACTAATGTAAACATGTACTAATAAAAAATATAAATAAGATAATCTCTAATTATATATAGATCAATAATGAAATCTTTGTTTCCACGTCTACACTCAAGATTGATTGACTGACTGAATGATTTATGCATTACTGGAGACTGAACCCAGGGCCTTCACACTGAGTTAACTAAATATATATCCCTTTTCTTATTTCTTATTTTTGAGACAAGGTCTCATTAAGTAGCTACCACGCTGGG